CCCCGGCAGCCGGCCCCCGCACCAACGCCGCCCCTCATGGGCCTTCCCGGCGCACGGCACCGCCTCCCCGGCCTACAACGCCGCTCCCCGTTGGCTGGGGGGAGGTAGCCATAGCAACCGCGCAGCCCCCGCCGGCAAGGTACTCTGGGTCCGCAAACTTTTTCGGTTTCAACTTCCCGAGGAGACATCGGGGGTGGGCGTGGCCTACAAGTCCCAGCGTGCTTCGCGCCGCGCCTCGGCGGCGGGAGGCGGTGCCCTCTCGCAGGGCACGCTGGGTAATGTAGTCCCAGAGCGGCCGGCGAGGCGGAGGCAGTCGCACAGGTAACTCCCCCGTGACCCCTACGCTGAGGCCTGCCCGACCCTGCAGGATGGCACAGGTAGGATCTGGGGGAAAAAAAAATAAAATAAAAGTTGTATAGGGGACGATATTAGAAATTTGTATCATATTTTGGATGCCAGTGGGCATCTGTGAATTTCTCTTGCCCAAGTAGGAGGTGAGAAACACTTCTGTGGTTCCGCTTGCCTTCTGGCCTCTTGTTTTATACTAAAATACTAAAAACCACAATATTGGGAATCTCTATCTTGTTTGTTTGTTTCCTCTGTTTCTTTTTTTTTTTTTTACCGTTAAAAGGCATTTCCCGCCTTGGCTCCACATGTTTTTACTGCAGTTAACACCAAACTTCTCCACTCCTTGATATTTTTTTCCATCCATTTTTGTCTGGATGCAAAGTGCCTATCAGCCAACATTTCATCTTCTGTTTTCTACAATGGGTTTCTATGATTATTCTGTATGACTTGGAGTTGCAGAATGTTGTGAGGCATGCATAGATTTTGGGGGGGAAAATAGGAAAAAAAAAAAAAAAGGTATTCTTGAAGAACAAATGGGCAGAATTACATCCCAGAATTGCTCTGAGTCATTTTGCAATGTCCATAAGGTTCAGTAGCTGTGGAAAAAGCAGGACTGTGGTCCCGTGGAATTTATGGCTCCCCTATAATAGGCAGAAATGAAAGACTATTTGCTGCAGGCCAGAGTTATATATATATATTTATGGCAGAAGCTTTTCTCTGTGGACTGTCAGACATAGCTGGGGGACACTCTATTGTCTTTCAAGGACAATACTGGATGAAAAAGAAAATTACAAATTAATGTAAAAAAAAATAAAATAAAAAAATAAACTACAGCAGATTTGCAGATGAAAACTATTCATTAGCGGCCAGCAAATAAACTTAGGTTTTTTATACCACTCTCACAAGCAATGTGCAAATACAGAAATAAGTTATGTTCTGTGTATAGCATTTATACTTAAAATAGTTTAAATGTTCCATGAATAGCATGCTTATTTTAAGAGTAGTGTGTATCAATATGGTACACAGATTTGACTGCTACAGTCTACAGGAGCTGTGTGCAGCCAAGCCAGGCTGCTTTTGATACATGAGTTACCTTAAATACCAGCATCTCCCTCTTCAGTCAAGGTAAAACCATCCTAAGATTCGTGTGATGAAGGGATGTGCCCCAAATCGTGCAGTACTGGGTACCGAAGAAGCACAACATTGGTCTTCTGTGTCAGTTCTCTTTGGTTATCAGGCAAAACATCTTCCTACCAGGGGAAAAAAAAGATAATGCAAAAGCAGGATGTCAAATAAAGATGTAACAATCAATACAAATCCGTTCAGTGCTTCTGATTCTTGCTTGATCTCAACTCATTTCTGCATTGCACAAACAGAAAATCCATCTCAAATTGGTAAACTTCAAATATTTCAGCGTAGCTGAAAAGCACAAGCAGAATTTTATTAGGTTAAAAACCTTTACTTTTTGCAGTGCCCTATGCTTTTCCACATACCCAGCACATTTTTATGGCCAGATTTTAAACTCTTGACCCTTTTGTTAAAAAAAGCAATGTTGCTGTTTGCTGTCCTCTCTCAATTTGTCCTTGTTTGGGCATTTTCCTTTGTGGCAGAGATACTTCTTGTACCACTTACTACTCAAATTGTTACTTAAAAGGTGAGGCCAAAGAGTAGTGTAGGACAGTGCAGCCAGACACTCACCAACAAATAAATCCTAAGGAGTCTGGGAACAAGTTATTGCTAAATTTCAGACTCTAGTCTGAAGACTTAAAAAAATATGCCATGAAAATCAACACTTGATGGGCAAGGAGACATATAAAGGCTCATTGCACACCTGCTGTGAGCTTTTATTTTTCTGCAGAGGATCATCCTGCTCAGTCACTGCCATGGTGAGCGTGTCCTACCTTGTGCCTTTACACAGTTCTCCCTCAATGATGATCTATTCCGTAGAATCGTTCAGCATGGAGAGACTTTCAGAGTACCCAGGTTCATCCTTAGCAGCAATGACCATAATACTAAAACCCGCAAGTTCTCTGAATTTGGAAATTATTCTTCCTTTTTAATGTGGACGTGACTGTCCATCCTGCCTTTTGCCATAAGATGAGGTGTCAAGAATAAGCAATGCATCTCCAGTACATTCCTCATGTGCCAAATCCTGCTGCTGTTGATGATGCTGGCACGATTTTCAGTATCCATAATGACCGCAGGGCAAATTAAGCAAAACTGTCAGCTTCTTTTCACGAGGTTTGCAAATACATTTAAATGGTATAAACACATTCCCCTTCAAGTTCAGCTGCTGCAGAAGCTGGAAGTTCACGGTTTATCTAAGTCTCAGTGCTTCACTCACTGTTTTGCTTTTCACATTCAGTATTTTATTCTCATTAGTGCTGGAATTGCTGCCCGTCAGCAACAGGTACCAGTTGGTATCACAGGGAAAGACACGTCTGCCTGGTTTGGTTTCCTGAGTCATCAAGGTTGACACTGATCAGTGATTAAAGATAAACGATTCTTCTCTCGCAGAGCAGAAGGGGCAAGTTCAATCCCTCGTACGGACTGCAGCTTGGAGGATGGATTTCTAGTTGGTGCCTGAGGCATCTCCAGGTGATGTGGGTTACTGCAGAAAACCTGCGCTTCTGGATACCCCTTTTCAAAGCCTGTAATGTTTTATTGCTAATTATTTCTTCATTGGCTGCTATGTGGTGTATATTATCCCATAAGAGACCTCTACACTTTCCATAGAGGGCAGCCTGGATCCCATGCTTTACAGCATTATCTACCAAAAGCACTACAAATTTTATTTACTTATTGCATATCCTGTGGTTCAAGACCCTCAGATTTGACTACGGACCTCAAAGCCTAATATAGTCATATTATATCATATTAATATGTGATTATTTATGTTGATATACTTTTATCTGGCTGCTGTGGTTCACATCAATTGCAAGTTAGTGGCAGAATTTGTAGCCAGCCTGACTGTCATTTCCAGACCAGACTTGATTCATGGTCTCATTTCCTGTTTTTCCTCCCGCTGCTCACAGCCCTTTTTTTCCTTCTCCATGGTCCATTTATTAAATGTAGAGTTAAAAACACAATTAGAATTTGCTCAAGTCTATAATGTCTGAATACGAAATCTTCAGAACAATAAAAATTCTCTCCTGATCCTGTCTTATTGGGGCTGCCTATTGAACTGATGAACTCCGCCTTCCTTCCTTACTGACTGCATTAAAAAAAAGAACATGATTTGTGCAATACTGAGCCATGACTATGTGAATAATTCCAACACTTGTACGCACTGCAAAGAGACCTGGGAGCACAAAGGCAGAGCAAAAATAAGTATTTTCTTGGCATGCTGCATATGCTGATGTATAAAGCTGAAAACTCAAAGTGTTGTGGTGCAAAGCACTGGTAGAGCAGAAGAAATAGGTGCAATCCCAAACAAAATGGGGGAAACTATCCTGTGGACTCTGAAAAAAAAAGGTTTTTCATCTAACCTGGAGACATTTATGTGGGTAAAGCCCATGGCTGAACACTGACAAGAATTCAACCTTGGGTTTCAAAGGGACAAGATACAGACATATAGTGCTGGTAAACCAGAGCAAAACCAGCAGCCAAGGAACAAATGAAACTCTGCACATTCATTCTTTCCACTGTGATTATTAGATAAGGGACGTGAAAGGGTTTCTGTGCCAAGGTTACATTCCCAGGTTTACAGGCCAGGTAAATACCTTTTCCATTTGGAGACTGTCCAAGAACATTTGAAACTGTTTGGTGTATCTCATACAAACAGAATTCTCTAATTATTTTAAAAGAGGCAGATGGTACAAAGCTTCTCCTATGTGGTTCATCCCGTTGCAACAACCTACTCCTGCTTCTAGGCAGTGGAATTCCTCTTCTAGCTCAAGCAAGGGACGTCGCTGGTAAAGCCCAGCACAGTGTCAGTGTTCAAACTTTGCAGGACATCTGGGCATGAGAACATTACAAAAGTTGTACCGAAGCGGGCGGGAGGCTCCCTGTGGTTTGAATATTGCTTCTGCTTTACAAGAAGCCTCTCTCGTGGTCCAAACAGAGCTCACATCTCCATCCAGAGGTTGGTCATCTGAGAGAGGCTCGGGGTTTTGTTATACCCAAACTCTACACTGTTTCTATACGTTTGTTATACTCTACTTTATGGGTAGAGCTAAGAATTTTTTATTAGTTCAGATAATATCATTACAGTCTAATTCCCCTAATTAATTAATATATGTAAGGTCTCATGCCTAGCACAATTTTAATTGTTGTCCAGAAAAGGCCTTCCTGGTCTCTACCCCTTTTCTCTAGTGTGATGCTCACCCTGCCAATGTCCCTCTGCATCACAGGGCTGATACAATGAGTTGTCACTCATCACTCATCAGGCTGGGTGGGCAGGAGACCCACCAGACCCTGGTGACCACAGTGACAACCAGCCCTGGCCACAGCCGGCCCAGAACAGCCAGAGACCCGGTTAGGTCAGCGCGAAGTCCATGGCCTTATACTGCTTGTATCACAAATCACATAAGCTGCAATATAAGCGTGACAAGCTCTGCACGGTGGGAAATTACAGCATCAAAAATACAAGTCTACAGAAAAAAATTTAAAAAGAGCCTGTAAAAATCAGTTGGAGGAAGTTTGTGACAGATTGGGCTGGAAGCCACTAGCGATCCGTGGATTCCGGCGATCCCTGAAGACAGGGATTGCCCACCCGAGGTGGCTCCTCTGCCCGCTCGTGGTCGTTGCCTTCCTCGACACCGCTCGGACCGCGGCGTCCAGCCGGGCTCCAGCCGCCTCGACACAAAAGCGGGAGAATTTGCTATTTAACATCAATGGCAGTGGCAGCGTTTCATGACCTTCAAGGGGCCCCTGCCCCCTGCTGAGTTATTCAGCAGAAAACTTGGGCTGTAGCCTCATCCCGGGCACATGGAAGTGCCTCCCGCCGAGAGCATCAAGGCCGCGGGGACTCGCATTGATAGTCTGGAGCCGCTCCGGAGTCGCGAGCGCTGGGAGCTGCTCCCTCTGAAGCCGTT